CATTTAAGACACACAAATGCATGTACAAGGAAAAACAATTTAATATATATATAAAAAAACTGTAAAATTTAAGTTATGTCATCAAATATAGACTAATTTATTGGAACTAAGCTGGAAAAATAAATATGAAAGTCAATTAAAATATAAAACAGGAGATAAAGCTCTCCTTTTTTAATTTAATTGGACATTTTAAGTGTATTTATTTAGTGGTTCATATAATTTTGATTTTATTTCTAATTATGTCAGTTTTGGTCCTCCATACTGCAGAAGCCTGATAATCGTCTATTCACTCATATCAGGTGTGTTGGAGCAGAGAAACAAGTAAAACATGAGGGCTGCGGCCCTCCAGGACCAGGATTGCCCATGCCTGTGCTAGAATAAATGGCTGAGTTGCATCATCTTCTCTGTTTTCATTCAGTGAAGGCAATGAGAAATCCTACCAGCTGCTGAGAGACTCTCTGGATCTCTACCTCACCATCAACCCTGATAACGTGCAGTATTTGCTGCTGCAGGCACGCCTCTACTTCCACCTGGGGATCTGGCCAGAAAAGGTCAGGTGGAAATCTGCTTAAATCAGATGAATTTCAGTCATTTTAACCAGATATATTTGTGGAAGACTAAAGAAGTCGGTGTAAAACTGATGTTATGCTCCTCTTCTCTAGGTGTTGGACATCCTGCAGCACATTCAGGCGTTAGACCCCTCCCAGCACGGGGCGGTGGGTTACCTGGTGCAGCACACGCTGGAACACATCCAGCACAAGAAGCATCCGGTAACACCCGAGGTGAAGCGGCGAAGCGCTCCCGAACACCTGGAAGTCCAGTATTCAGTCGGTCTTATTATGAAACACAAGCGGTAAGTCATGCTGAGAGGTAGACGCAGAGGAACTTAACTCCTCCCAAACTCTTCCCGTGCTCAGCTCGGTACGTGACATCTCTTCCAGGTCAGGGTATAACTGTGTGATTTACGGCTGGGACCCTAAATGCACCATGAGCCAGGAGTGGATCACCACCATGAGGGTCCACCAGTTGTCCAATGGAGCCAACCAACCTTTCTACAACGTGCTGGTGCAGGACGGGACGTGTCGTTACGCAGCACAGGGTACGCCTCATTTCAACAGCGTGGTGACAGAGAGAGAAAATCTCCCTCTGGTGAACTTATTTAGGTTTAGTTTAAAATAAAGCATATCGTCTTTTTTTTGTTGGCAGTAACATCGAGTATTTAGGTTAATGAAGGCTTGAGGACATAAAAATTATTTAAAAAAATAAAATAAAAGCTTTAGCTCTTTTTCCCCCCAATTTTTAGAATAAAGACTATGGTTAAACATAGTTCCAATAAACAGAATGCCACTAATGTGCTGTACAAAATGTTTATAGCTATTGTTAATTTTCAACTCTTGACCCTTGTAATAAATTTAAAAGTTAGGAAGCTGCCTAAATACAGTTCATAACATTTATTTTGCACATGTGAAGCATACAACCTTTACAGCACTGGGCCAGTTGCATCAAACCTTCTGGTCAGGTCCCAAAAGGCCAACGGTTTTCTTCAAACTAAGGTCACTCCCATGGTGCTTTCATCAACATGTAACCTTAGCCTCGTATAGAGGAGTCCTCAACAAATATGAAACCATTAATACTGTGTGTGTGTGTGTGTGTGTGTGTGTGTGTGTGTGTGTATTGTTGTTGTAGGATGTGGGTTAACTGGATAGTTTTATAAAAACTACAACTTAACCACTAGTGAATCACAGCAGTATATAACGCATTGATATTAAACCATTTCAAAATAAGAGTATCAAACCCTTTCAGTATAAAAGTATCACAACCTTTAAGTGCATATATGTAGTTCCATTAAATCCGTAAAAATATATTTCACCTTTTTAAGTTTTTTATATAAACACTCTGTGTGATATAAATTTGAAACAATAATATAAGAAAAGACTTAGTTTTGTTCTGATTTTATCGCTGGTTTTACTAACTGGGTCAAAGTTTTTAGCTTCTTATCAGAACTAAAATAATGTATGAAAGTTTATTTAAATAGTAAAACCTCTTTAATTTAAAAAAGGTTGACTGTTTTTGATGCTCAAAGTGAAACAAAGCCCAACAAACTTGTCCAGTCTCATTTCTTGACTACTTTTTTTCTTCCTTCCTTTGTTAACCAAGGTTAAATATTTTCTCAGTGTTATCTCACTCACTCTGTGTCTACAGAACTTTCATTGTCTAAACTTACCCTGGCTTTTTGCAGCACCTCAACTTTTTTTTTCAACAAACCATGGGTTGATTTGGTCAGACTCTAAGGTTTGAGTAAAAGGCAACTGAATTTCCTCCTGTTATCCAAAAATCTGTTTCAAATCCAATCATGGATTGACAGTTTAGTTTAAATCATTTATTCGTTTCATTTATTCCAGGTCGTCATTGTAAATGAGAATTGGTTCTCAATTGACTTACCTGTTAAAATAAATGTTTATATGTTAAAAACAAAACTATATGCAGAAAATAAATGCAAATCACAAATAAAATAAAAAGCAGTTTCAGGCTTTTAAGTCATTATTTGGGCAAACATACTTAACCCTCCTGTTGTCTTCGGGTCAAAATGACCCGTCTCCACTAAATCCCCAATATAAGCAGCTTAATTGAATTTTAAACACCAAATTTCATCTTGTATATTGTCATTCACCACAAGATGTGTGATACTTGAATTACTTGAGGGAATACTTGAGTTTTCCCTCTCCACTTGAATTTCTATAGCTTAAGAAAGGAAACAAATGTGCAAAAAGGAGTTTTGAATGCATTTTTATTGATCCCAATGACTCAGTTTCTTTTACTTTTCTCCAGGGAACAATTTAAGAGAATGTACAATATAAAAAATTTTGAAAAATAACATAACACATTCAACTAATTAGCACATGTAGGGCAGTATGCAAG